TTTTTTAAGACTAATTTTATAGTTCAATAAAAACTAAAATAGAAAACAAAAACAACAGAATAGATCAAATTGATTTTTTTGTTTATTTTACTCTCGTATTGCACTATTTATACTTGATGCATAACATGAACCAAATAAAATAAATTATCGTTTGTCGAATACTTATCGTATGAATATAAGTTAAAGAATTATTTAATGATACTTGTGAAGAAACATTTGAAGATTTAATAAAAACTAAATTAAAACAATATTTTTAAATGAATGTTGTGTTAACAGAAAAAATGATTTTCAAATTTCGAATTGATAGCGTTTCTTGCAGATCGCTCACGTCAACTAGATTTAATATTCGAATTTCAAGATAGAACCGAATCAAAAGATCTGACACTTTCACAACAAAACTACTCTCGTTAAGATCATCGATATTCGTAAAATCAGTTTTTCTGTTACTATGACATTCTTATATTGAAATTTTTCTTCTCTAGGAAAGACCCTTTCAGAAACCTTCATTATAATATTTCCATCTAAAGTTTTATCCATAGACAAGTTTCAGACACAATACAACATCCTAAAGGTTTTAGCTTAAACAATAAATAAAGAAGATTAATAATTGAACTTTTCTTTACAATAAATATTTACTATTTAAAAGAAGCTACCTCTAGTGTACATTGAATGTTGATTTAAAATAATTAAGTGTTTCTCTTCCAAATTTTTTTGATAGATCTTGTGTAGAAATAAGACGTAAAACTGATTTCATAGACAATAATAATCATTTCTGATGAGTTTAATAAACTTTTATGCGTTTGATATGATGAACATATTAATTCGAATAATTTCCAAAAATACCTAATTGTGTATGATTAATTTTTTTAACTTTGTTTGTGTTTGATGTTGTTGATGAATCTTTATTATTCTCTTTAAAAAGAGAAAACAAATGAATTCCTTTAGATAAGACATGATCAAATATATTCTTCAAATCTAAAACTTTGGAACTCTCTCTCTTCTTCTGTGAAAACTGATATATCAACTATATTCTGTCCAAAATAATGATGATAAAATAGTTCAATTTTTCGAATTACTTGAATTATTTGTGCTACTTTCAAAACATTTTTTCATTTGTTGAGATTTGATAAATCTTCAAATAAAAAGAAAGAATTTAAAAAAAAACATAATAAATATCTTTTTTTCTCTTTACTTGAAAAGATTAAATTATTAAGATCATGTAATATAAATGGATGTTTAAAGAAATTTATAAATAAACGAAGTTCATCATATTGATTATGAAAAAATTAGTCGAATTGTTGTTGATCTTAAAACATTTGAAAGAACATAAATATCTTCTAAACATCCAACCTATATAAAAGACAAAAATAACAAACAATTTTTATTCGAGTTGATGCTTGAGCTTGTAATGAATGATGAATTTTATATATCCATTGACATGGTAAAAATGAATTGTGATCAACAAACCTTAAAATCAAAAAGTAGCTAATAACTAACTTAATGTAATAAAATCGACTTATGCATTCAAATTCGAAAAAAAACTACCTAGTTAATATCTCTACAAAATGCATACTTAGCAAAAGTCGAAGCAATTGCTTGACGAACACGTATATCAGGGTACTGTTGTTTTAATTGTTGTTCAAGATAAGTTAATATTCGAAAATCAATGTCATCTATAAGTTGAGCTAGACTAACCTATTTTATATACATACAAAAAAAATTATTATAATCATTTTTTTGTTTTATCTACTTTAGCAAGAACATAGGAACTTGTAGTATGTTGAATAGAATCTTCTAATAATTCAATTCCTATGATTGTAAATGCATGACTATTAATTAATAAAAATAGGTAATAATGTTCGTAAAGCATTTAATGAAACATGTATAACACGTGCATTATTATCATTAAAACATATAATCTTGAACTGTCTTGTGAATCAGTTGATACAAGTGGATATTGATTAATAAAATAATTAATAAATGAATTTGATAATAATGAGTGTTAAAAGATGAATTGTTGTTTTAATTAATGTAACAAGTAAATTTGCACATGCACCACGTAAATGTAGATCACCGTCTTCACATAAAGATAAAAGATATCTAATATCTTAAAGAAAAGAAAAAAAAAGAGACCTTGATATTCGATAAATTGTAATGTATTAAAAGTCATATAGAGATGTGAATTTCATTTTTTCCTATAGAGAATTCAATTTTAATTACAAAATTATATCTAATCAGAAATCTTCAAAGACTAAAGAAAAACTCCTTAGAGGATACAATTGATTTCATATCTCGAACTTCGGCTTAGAACTTTTTTGAGGTGGTTATGCCATTGTATAATTTCAATCTCTGATGTATAAATGCAGGCTTTGAGCTTCAATAAAATATTCTACTTGATATCTTTTCGAGTCTGATAATATTCTAGTCTTTTGTTGATTCCAAAAAAATTAAAAGTAGGAATAGGACTAGAGCTGCTGAATCAATATTCAGAAATCTCCGTTCTTGAATTTTCAGATTCCAATATATATATATATGTTTCAACAATTTAATAGTGAAATTGTCATATCTATCAGATAACTTTCACTAAAACTTTGAGACCTTAACCAATTGAAGCCACGTCAACTAAACGCTGCCACAATTCCCTTCACCTAGGCCCTCCTACTGTTACGACATTAGAAATAATTTTGGATTATAAAAAAAGTCAAACAAGAATTAAACATACTTTTAGTAAGATAAACAAATGGATCAAATTGTTTATAAATACGATAGACATATTGATATAGCACATTTAACACTAATACATGATTCATCATCACTTTTTATCGTGCCATCCATATTAAGCATATATCTAATCGGAAAAAAAAATATAATTGATGAACAAGTTTAGCAGCTGATATTCATTTTTCATTATTAATCATTGATGTTGAATCGAATTCATCATTCATTTCAATAAATCAACGTTGATATGTTGAATAAGCTATTGGTTTAGAAAAAAAAAAACAAATGAAAAAAAAATTCTTGTTTTTTTTCCTCAATATTTACTTGTTTTTAAGGCTTCACTAACACGATTTTCTTCTATAGATCCAACTTGGGTTGAAATTAATAATTGATCAAAATCAAATAAATTTGAATATTTAAGTATAATTTCATGTGTTTCCAATGAACTTGACACAACATTATGATCATTATGTTGTAAACAAATATAACATACTATATCAACACACTAAAAAAAGATTTACATTGAAATTAAAATCTTTCATTATTTGTTGAATACTGATTGAAAGAGGTTATTCATTTGTATCAATATTTTTTACTTCTATTTACTGATTGTTGATTATTGCTTGATTATGATTGAAATTCTTAGATATTTAAACCAAATAATTGAGGGTCGGGATGTGTAGGGATAAGCAATACAAACACTCACACCCACTTCTCAAAATGCCTGAGTCTTCTTAAAGCACATTAGCCATACTTTCTTCGGATGCATCTAACGAAGTTTGAGTGATAAATAGAGTTTTTCATACATCGAACGATAAAATAAAAAATATAAAATTTTTCATTTATTTATTTTGAAGCTTTCAACACTACTTCTATAATTATCAATTTCAAAAAAAATTTTACGATAGAAAATATTTATATATATTAGAATAAAGTTCAAAGTCTAATGAATCATCATAACTCAAATTTACGCTTATACAAGTATCAGTGTATATTTTATCATTGCAACAACACGAAACGCAAAGGTAAGGTAAAAAAGGAAGAAGTAGAATATATGAAAAACGAAACGTATTTTATGACGAACACATGGTCGAAAAAGTCGTTTACATGATGAAAAAGTCATGCTTCATTGATTCATGTAAATATACGTTTGTGGGAAAAAACCAAGTAATTTTGCTAATAACAAATACAGAATAAAATCGATTGCAAGCACACAAAACAAAATTTGCTATACTCCAACATTACATAGCACGTAAGTGTATTTAGTTTCTAACATTATTAGACTACTAAGAAAATTAAAGTGAAAAGTAAAGAGTAGCTACACACAAAAAAATGACGGTACATAAACATGTGTTATTTTTATGTTTATAAAGTAGTTTCACAAGAACTTCGCTTGATAATACTCAGAACATGCAACCGATTGTCTTGGTTGCAGAATCTTGTATGTATAAAACAATCTTATTGTAAAACATATTAAACAGAGTAACTGCTTCTATGCATAAATTTCAACGCGAGTACCAGTAATGAAAGGCACAATTTTTACTTTTAGAAATACTCTTTTTCTGGTCTACCGACTAATCTGGATTGATTAGATAGAGAAACTGGTTAGACATGTCGAAGTTTGAAGACATTCTGGACTAGTTCAGACGTAGCTGCAGGAGTTTTCATGTCAGGATAACTAGTTAGGACAGGTATTTTCGACATTTCGGACTAGTCATGTCGTCCGTCCTCAGCGACTATTTGTTTCCTTAGCCATTCTTCTTTATTTATGGTTCGATGTATTTTGTCAGTAACACTCTTGAAACAAAAATGAACCAGATAGTAGAGGTTCTTGAAGTCTGTAGCCACAAGTCAGAAAAGGAATGATGTTAACCAACAAAAAATTTAACAATTATAAATATAGGGGACTACGTTTCACTGATTATATTCATTCGTTCAATTACAATGAGCAAACAAAAATCGACAACAACTGTTATCAGTGGTGCAGCAGCGACACCTAGCACCACCACTATTACCAACGCGAACAATCGTACTACTGTTGCTCTATCTCGACCTATGCGTCGGGTTCTTCAAAATTTCCGGCTTCTATGGCTTGATACCGATCTCGATGAATCCAAAGACAATTATAAAAAATCAATACAACATTTACGCAATATTGTAGAAACAGTGATAACATTTACAGACATTGACGAATGTATTGATTTTCTAAGTGATATTGAAAATGAAAATGTATTTATGATCATCTCTGGTGTCCTAGGACAACATCTAATATCGGTAATTCAAGAATGCCCACAATTAACTTCCATTTATGTTTTATGTGACAATCAATCGACTCATGAGAAATGGATCAAAACAATACCTAAAGTAAAAGGCGTGTACAAACAAATTGAACCGATTTGTGATGCATTACAAATTGATCGAAGAAATTATAATCAAAATATGATCTCGATCAGCTTTAATCGTATTGATCCGTTATTTATGTATACACAATTGCTGAAAGAAGCACTTTTGGAGATAGAGGATGATGATGTGAAATCAATTAAAGAACTCATTGAATATTGTCGTCTTCAAACCGATGCTTCCGAAATAACACTTAAAAAGATTGAAGAAGAATATCGTAATTATTCACCCATTTGGTGGTACACAGGTCCATATTTTATCTACTCAACGCTCAATAGTGGTCTTCGACAAATGGATGTCGATATTATCCTAAAAATGGGTTTCTTCATTCGTCACCTACATAATCATATTACCGAACTACATCGCGAACAACAAGGGAACATGCCAACAAATTTTCAAGTCTTCCGTGGACAACGTTTGTCCATGGAAGATTTTGAAAAAATGAAAAAAACCAAAGGAGGACTTATGTCCTTCAATAACTTCCTGTCAACAAGTCGCAATCGCGAGATTTCACTGGAAAATTTTGCACGGCCAGCAGCATTTAATACAAATTCAGTTGGTATTCTCTTCGTTATGACCATTGACACGGCTATTTGCACAAAATCATCGACACCATTTGCTGATGTAAGCAAAGTTGGTTACTACAAAGATCAAGAGGAAGAAATACTCTTTTCAACACATGCGATTTTTTGTATCGATCGCATTGAACGAATTCACGATAATCACTCTGATAGGCTATACGAAGTTAATCTCACTATTGTCGGTAATGACAATCATGAATTGAACACACTTACAGCACATATACGTGAGGAACTTGGGAACGACAGAGGATGGTCTCGACTTGGTTTTATACTTATTAAAGTGGGAGAGCCTGCAAAAGCAGAACAACTCTATCAAATTCTCCTTGCAAAGGCGTCTTCTGATGAACATCGAGCAGAATACAATTATCAACTAGGCTGGGTTTCTAGATACCTAGGCGAGTATTCAAAAGCACTTTTATATTACGAAAAATCAATGGATATTAACAAGAAAATTCTCTCTCCAAATGATCTCCGTTTGGCTTCTTCCTACAACAACATCGGTTCGGTGTATTATAACATGGGCGAGTATTCGAAAGCACTTTCATCGTATCAACGATCACTTGAAATCAAGAAAATAGCTCTCCCTCCGAATCATCCCGACTTGGCTGCTTCCTACAACAACATCGGGTTGGTGTATAATAACATAGGCGAGTACTCGAAAGCACTTTCATCGTATGAACAATCACTTGAAATCAACAAAATAGCTCTCCCTTCGAATCATCCCGACTTGGCTACTTCCTACAACAACATTGGTATGGTGTATAATAACATGGGCGAGTACTCGAAAGCACTTTCATCGTATGAACGATCACTTGAAATCAAGAAAATAGCTCTCCCTCCGAATCATCCCGACTTGGCTTCTTCCTACAACAACATCGGGGTGGTGTATAATA